ACGGCGCGGGGGCCCCGGGGCGGGCCCCGCAGCCGCTTCCAGATCAGCTGGAAGCGCCGCGGGTTGGGCCGGGTCCTGCGCGGCTTTGCTCAGCGTCTCCCTGGTCTGCAGCACTGCAGCGTCTCCCTGATCTGGAAGCGGCCGCGGGTCCGGCCCCGGGTCCTCCGCCGCTTTGCTCCCCGTCTCCCTGGTCTGCTGGCTCCCCCAGCAGACCAGGGAGATGGGGAACAGCTTTTCTCGCCCCGGAGGAGGCGGGCGGTGGGACCAGGCATCCCGCCGCTCCAGTCCTCCGGGGCGAGAAAATCCCCGTTCGTAACTGCGGATCCGACATAAGTCAGATCCGCGTAACTCGGGGACTGCCTGTACAACAATAACCATTTCCTTGGTGAGGGCTGGAGGGGCTGACTTCTGTTAACTGACTGATGCTAAGACGAGAAAAGCTGTGAGGCCAAGGGAGGACAGAGAAATAATACAGAGACCAAGAGAGATTAGAAACATGGGAAAAAATAAAGTGAAATTAATCTTGGCTAATACACAAATGTCCCTTTTTGAAGAGCAGCTAAGGCATGTAGGGTACGTCTATACTCCAACACTATTTCAAAATAACTAGCGCTATTCAGAAATAACTTAGTCCGCGTCTACACAGCAGGCAGTTATTTAGAAATAGTGTCAAAACATTGTCAAGCTGGAGGACTTCTTACTCGGATGCCTGTAACCATCACTGTATGAGGACTAAGGGAAGTCAGAGGAAGAGTGCTTGATTTCGAAATAAATGCTGCGTAGACGCTCCCTATTTCAAAATAAGATACACAATTGACTTAGCTCAATTTGTGTTAAGCCCTGCAGTGCAGACACACCCTGAGATGTGCAAATGTCATTGAAAGTCAATGCTGACATCTCCTTTTTCCCAAAATTTACTTAGGAGCTTACGTTGCCTTGCAGGATCTGAGAACCTGGGCTCCAGCCCTTCCCAGATGTCTCCAGAGCAATAAAACAGCCCCACCGTCGGAACATGGGAGCCCGAATTAAGCTATCATGGGCCAACCACAATTTTCCTTGGCTGTGGACACATATCCTTAGGCACAACTGAAATTTTCACCCATGCTTTACAATGTGATTTGGCTGTAAGCTCTTCCATGACTGTCCCTAGAACTGTGTTACATTTTGGGCACCACTTTGCAAGAACTGTCGTGACAAAGTAAAAGGAGTCGGGGACTGGAGGGAATTTACAAGGAATACGGAAAGGTTGGCTAAGTGATGGCAAAGTGGGTGCACGTGATCGCAGTCTACCAATATTTAAGAGATGCAGAGAGCACGAAGAGGGCCTATTTAGTGTGGTACATGCAGGGACAATTGGCATAAATATAAATACTGATTGAAAAAATGCCCTGAGTCTGAGATGTGCTAAGCAGGGGATGAAAACATCATTACTTAGGATATTTAAAATGTGTGCGCAAAGGTGGTCCATGAAATGGGCTGGTGACTTCAAACGTCTCTTCTGTTTTTATGATTTTATGTAATTAAACAGTAGAGGAGTCCGGCACCAGTCCTCCAAGCACAAGATCATTTATATGGAGAGGATCTCTGGGATAACTGAGCTGCAATTATCCTCCATTAATTTTGATAGAGAAGCTGCTTACAGTATTGTACTTAACAAAAACAAACAAACAAACAAACAAACAATGAAAAGTCCTGTGGCACCTTAAAGACTAACAAATTAATTTGGGCATATGCTTTCATGGGCTGGAGCTCACTTCATCAGGTGCATGAAGTGGAAACTTCAGTTTGGCAGGGATATGCTGTCAGTCTCAGTGCTAAAGTCCAATCAAAATTCCTTGTCTATGAAAGAGAATGAGGTAAGGCTGGAAAAGACCATCTGGAATTGGGGATAGTTGAGAGGAAAATATTCTGTGGGGAGAGACCTAGAATGTTGGTTGAGTCCAATCCCCATTTGGGATTCAAGCCACCTTCTAAAAGAGAATGAAATGACTTAGAGAAGGGCCCAACCCAAAACCCAGATATTACACAAATATTAGGGGTATCGAATCAAGATTCTAATATTAATTTTGTAGCTAGCTTATAGCCCTATAATGGACTGAGCCAAAATTCCAGATCCAAGCACATTTAAATTTGGAGACTTTGAAATCCATATCTGAATGTTGTGACTCACGCACATGTGAAATTTTATTTATTTTTCATTTATAGTTTTACTACCCAAAAGAGCTTGTAAATGAGTAATAGAAGAATATAGCTTTACACTTGCCGTTCTTGTTATGGTCATTAAGTCATTGTTGGTAAATAAACTTGTTAAACCTTGATCTTTGCTATGTTGATGGGACAGCT